CACACTTTGCTGACCGACTCAGGAAGCAGCTCTGACATCACCTTTCAGAAGCAGCAGCCACTGCAAAGGCCCTGCCAAAAGTTCTGGCCCCGAATAACACAGAAGGGGCAACAGCCAGCAATTGGTGAGGCTATCCATGAGAAGTAAGTCGAGGAAGTCTGAGAAAGGGAGATAAATGGGTTAAACAGAAAACCCTAGAAGACTAGACTTGAAGCTACACAAGAACGCAAAGAGTACTTACACGGAATAGACACAGTCACAACCTCTTTGCTTTATATACCCAGGTCAGTTTGCAGGGCCGTCACAAGCCAGGACTAAAAAAAAAGGAGATTGTTTCCCCTCATTTATCCAACAGTGAAATCTCCCTTCTTTCCTGACCCCCTTTATCTACTTCAGATTTTTTTTCACAATAGTGCTAGAGAATTTGGTAACACAGATGGCAAATCTAAAAGGTACAAACTGACAGACACATAGGGAAATTCCCAAATTGCTCTTATTAGAGTGTGTATGTGTAATTCTCTCACTCCAGAGACCAGAAATTCAGCCCCCATTTTTCAAGCCTTATAAAGACAGCATAATGCTGTTTAAACAGGCAGAGAGGTGTTTATTTTAGTCTATTTCTTCCCAGGAACAACGTAACTCCAGCACTCAAGCAATTACTATGAAAAGAGGGTCAATAAATACACAAAATTCCAGAAACCTCTATTCTTGCTGTCCTCAAAAGCAGTGTAGCACAACGCCTTCCTAAGAAAGCTTCGGTGAACATCCCTGCACACCACAGAGACATCAGGTGGGTTTAATTTGTACCATCGCCCTGTCCCTTCGTTCCAAGTTGTGCAAACTGGAATGAAGTGCTAGTCAGTCACTCTCTAGGTATCTACCTAGAAGCAGCACTTCGGGCCTGGCCCTACTTTGGGAATAGACATGAACATAAGTGATGATGAAATGATGTGATGATAAGAGACAAAACCACCACCATTCACAGAATGCCTGGGTAAGGCTGCTTAAAAACACCCAACAAAGCAAACCACTCAAATGGAAAAGAAGAGGAAATACACACAGGGTAGTATTTTTATTTTTAAAGTATTAGAAAATCCCCAAACTCTATTGATAGGTCTATAAATTTTTTTTTTTTTTTTTTTTTTTTTACAGATTGTTTCCTCCCCCACATTTCCTTATACACATCATAGACATTCAGCATCCACTTCTAAGGAAAAGAAAATAGACTCTCCATGCCATCCCCACCCCCTCAAACTGCTGTCAGACTCAAGCCATTCTTATCAGAATGGTGTTTATGTTCCTTTCCCTAATGGCTCAGGCCTACACATGAGAAACCTACAGTCACACTTACTCTATACTTAGCACATTGACTGCCACGTGAGTTGTATTTAACTCACACTACTTTTGAGCCTGGGGCCTCGTGAAGTGTATGTAACTCACACATCTCTACCTTGGGAGCCTCGTAAACTATTTTTCAAGTTGCATGTCACTCATGTACAGAAACAGTAAGATATAACAAATTTTTCATTAAATAAGAAAGGATCACTTTGTCTTTGAAATTTTTATTCTATTTTCGTAATAAAACACCGTGACCCCATGGGAAAAAATATTTCTAGTGTTGCAGTCAATGTGTTAGACATTCACTCAACAAATATTCACTGAGTGCTCGCTATGGGCCAAGCAGTATTCTAGGTGCTGTGGATTCACCAAGGAATAACAGTAATAATAAAACCTATCCTTGCATTCACAGAGCTTGCATGTTTCCAGAGTCTCTAAACGAGGAGACTGATGATTAACAAATAAATATATAATATGTAAGGTGCTTAAAAGAAAAACACAATAGGCTACAGATGGAGAGGGCTGGGGTGGATGCTATTTTATATGGGTCAGGGAAGGCTGCTTTGACAGAGTAACACGAGAAGTCCTATTTAAGGAAGCAGAGAAGCCTAGGAAAGAAAATATGGATCACTGGCTCCTTGTTTAGAGCTTAAATAATATTTGAGTATGGAGGTGGACAGTTTTACAAGTCAAGTTCAAAAACGGCTCCTGTTACATTTTCAAAATGACCAGTGAGTATGGACTCTAAATTTAAAAGACTAAAACTGCAACCTTAGGAAGCTCTCAAATGAATACATGCAAATTGTCATATGGTGCCCAGGAGGGTCTTGTGGAAAGAGTTTCATGCTGGCGACAGACATAGTAATTCTTTCTTGTACTATAAGACTGTGCTCAATGTTTAAAAACAGTTGTAAATGAGGTACTGCTGAATTATTGACTATTAGGAGCCAAAGAAGGTAAAATGAAGGTCTGATTTGCTTCATTCAAGACTGATACTTAATGCAAGATTAAACATGTAGAGTCAGAAGAACCACTGGAGGTCATTTAAGTCAATTTTCTCATGTTGTCCATCATAAAATGGGTGCCCAGGAGTGGATGAGGCCCAGGGTTACACAGCTAACTGCAGCATCATGCCTGAAACCCAGGTCTCCTGACTCTAGCTCAGTGTGACTGCCACTCCCTTCCTGTACAAGATGCCCTATCTGGAACCAGTTTAAGACACCTTTAGAAGATAGGGCCAGCTGCTATACTAGAAACAGGGTGGCAGATTTGAGAGGCAGTTGAGAAGACACACAGAGAAGTAAATGCAATGAATAATGAGTTTGGGGTGCAGAGCATGGGGAACTGCTCCTTCAATAGCTTCTATGATTACCAGTCACACATTCACACACCCACACCCAGACCCAGACCCCCCTGCCTGTGCACAAACACACATTCTTTGACAATCGCTTGCCTTCCCTATTGTCATGGGTCTTCATGGAACAGGTCTTGGGGCACCCAGGATGCTAAGATCAGGGAAAACAGAAACTCAGTGTTGTAAAAAATGTACCAAGATTATGAAAAGTTACTAATACCAAAATTGACTAAGTAAACTGAGAACTACTCCTTCCTCTCCTCCCAGGCCAATGCAGTTCTAAAAAGAAAGTCCTTAGCGTGCTTAAAGGAGTCCACTAGAATTTAGTATTTTTTTTCCTCTCTCTTAACACACTCCATTTACAAAGGGCTTTTTAAAATTACCTTAAGTCTGCCATATGGCATGTTAAAGTTTATACTTCAGAAGTTCTTTGAAAACCTCACTTAACATTCGAGTTCTGACAGTGTGTCACATGAGCAGTTCAAAGCAACAGTTAAAAAAAAAAAACACCAAAAAAACCCCCCACCTGATTTGAAACAAAAGCTATCTTGATTATGGTAACTGCACAACTCACTTAAATAGAACCTGAAACCTAAAGCACTTTTCCATAAGACACCTGTTTTCTAGGATGAAAATGCTTTAAAACAACCATTGCCAGAAGTGCATACTAACAGTTACCTGGTTGAGAAAATAATTTCTATTCCAATGCACTGTAACCATAGCAGTGAAATCTAACAGGGCCCCAAATTCTTCCTTGATAGTTATGGAAACTCTTACAAGTTGTTTCTTAGAAAGTATTAAAGGACCTCACACAATGCTCTACCCTTATGGGGACCCCAAACCAAGATACTGACTGCTAAATAAACAGGTCGTACCGAGTAACATACAGACTTACAAAATATCACTACGGGGGATAGCAAATTGCCCAAGGTTGTGAATTTACTTGACCTTAATGAGAAAGCCAGGAACAGAACTCAGGTCAATTGATTCCATGAGCTGTGGACTTTCCACAAGAACCAATATGAGCAAATGTACGAAATGGAAACACATTCAAACACCAGCATCTCTCACTGTCTGCTTACTATGAAGCACAGGGGAAATCTGAATTTAATAAGCTTATTTATATATTACTATTTAACACTAAGGATATGCTATGGATGCATATGCATATTTTAATACAAATCTTTAGAAACCCATGCAATTTTTTAAAAATCAGGAAATGTTTCTTTTTCCATGTTAATACTTTTTATCCCTGGTATAGGCTGCATCTTCCTCTTTCCAAATCTTTTAGGTAACTAAGAAAAAAATATTTTGTAGATGCCTGGAAAAGTTTTCTGACTGAATCATTAAGAAGTTAAAAATTAAAAAAATATACAGATAAATATAAACAAGAATATACATAAATATCACAAAAATATCCATATATATACACACATACAACAACCACTTAGTAAGGGTTGGCTCTTCATTGTCTAAAATTTGAAGATAACATCTTCTCTTTTTCAGAGGTATTCACAGGCCATCCTGGGTTTCATGTAGCTGTTTTCTTTGCTGGTCAAACCCTTCTAAACTTTTTTTGTGACACAGTCTAGCAATGAAGTAAACTCTCCAGAAAGTAGCAGGGCTGGGCACCAACCCATATTGTTTTATAACGGATGAGCTCCTTGAAGATACACTGTGTCATTTCTTCAATGACTTGATACTAAAATTTCTCATGCAAGGGGTCCATCAGCTGAAAGCTAGGAACAACTTTCCTAATCTCAAAATCCTAACCCAGTAAAATCAGCTCATTTTGAAAGAGAGAAACACCCAAACCAACTGCTTATATTTGTGTGCCTCAAGATTTTAAAAGCCCGGGTGTGTGTGGGGGGTAAGCATTCTCATCAAAAACTTCACCTAAATAAGAAAAATTGCTCAGTGGAAATTATGATTGCTTATGCTCAGCCTGGAGAATTTCATTCCCTACTCACCAACCTAAAAGAATTGCAGCAGCCCAGTTTAAAGTGGCTGCTCTAAATTTGATACTCTTTGACTTTCCCAGTAGAAAGGGTGTTCCTACAATGAAAGAATCACTGTATTCCACTATTTTATTCCAGAAGTAGGTACTGAGCAGCACGCCAAGTTGAGAGAAAGGCAAGTTCACAGCAAATACAAACAGAACTTTTTCCCCTAAAAAAAGAAATTAATTGGGTGATCACCTAGAGCTCATGCTAATAATCCTTCATCACCCTGGCTCAGTTACATTCAGCGGTTCACAAATCCTGACAAGGCAAGCCACTGCAGATGCTGTGGTTGGTGGTGAACTTACAACATTCACTGCGCACTGTTCACAGGTAGCCTCAGCCTATACTTCACCATGGAGACTTCCCACGGAAGCTGGAGGGCTTGTGGACTCAGGCGTGCTCTTTCTTCCTTTCACAGAGAAGTGAGAAATACCTAGCATGAGAATGGAACAGAAGAAAAAGGTAAATACACCATCCAGTCACTTGTTATATCTCAACAAATGAAGTCTCATGATCAATTCAATTAATTGATAATGCTCACGATCAATCAGACTAATTGGTAATTCACCAAGACCATTGTCCAGTACTCATTTCTGAAAAAGGAATTCGGTAGTTTTGCTCTTGCCCCTGGGGACACAGTATAGTACAGCCAGCCTCGTTTTCCCCCAAAAAAGTTGGAAGCTGATTCTGGGAGACTTCGGATACAATCTCAGCTGAGATGCAAACTTGCAATACAGCCTTAAAACAAGACCCTTGATTTTTCTCTCTGCCAAAGGGAGCGAGGACTCTCATCTTTTGCCATTCTCATACCTCCCTGGGTTGTTGGGAGGATCAATAAGCTCATTCTTGCAGAGCACTCACAGTTCCCAAGAATAAAGGCACTGTGTCAATGCAAAGTATTATTAGTGGTAAGAGCCTGTTTGGAGCTCTGGAGCCAGAACATAAATGCCAGCGTTGGCCAGGCACCATGAACCAGCTACCCTGGAGCACCCACCAACTATCGCTGGAGCACCCACACATCCAAACATCTCCATGCCCCACTGTGCTGGGATCCGGGCAGAAGGGGAACAGAGACGGAGACGGCTGGAATCTCTGGGAGGAGGAAAGTGAAGGTATCAAGCAGGGAGCTAAGAGCGTACGGGAGGCACGAGAGGCGCATGCAGGAGCGTGGTTACTGGGTACACAGCCCCCTCGGCTTGCTGGTTTGCAGTGTTCTGTGCACTGAATGTTTGCAGGGCTGTGAAATTTTCCACTTGGCTGTCTGCCATTGCCACCCACTGAGGATAACACTTACACCCACAAAAGTGGCACACCAAAGCCCTGTTAGAAAAGGATTGGATAACGTTTTTTTTTTTTTTTGATTGCTTTTAATGAAAAGACTTGATCACATCCTAATCATTAATATTTCCCACATCTGGGCTTCTTGACTTTTTCTCCCCTTTAAGGCAAACCCAGGAACAGCTTCTTCCAGACCAGTGTGATCAAGTTACTCTGACTTGTGTGCTCTCGAGAAGCATAACTTGAGGTAAAGGAATTTATATTAGTGAAATTGGGGATGGCCGAAAACATGGAGTTTAAGTGCTCTGCTAGAATCCTGCCTGTTCCTCAAATAAGTCATCCGCAAGGGCCAGTCATGTTTTTCTTTTCAAAATCATGAGCATGCACGGAACATATGTAGGAGTTGCAATATTAACACTGCAGGTATAATAAATAATATTTCTGAGGGAAAAAAGAGGTCCCTTATCTCAAAAAAAAGGCAAGAATGAATAATAACAAATCGTAGGTTTGGAATTGGTAAAACACTGACAAGTATACCTCAAAATAAAGAACTAAAAAAAGTGGAGAGACAAAATTAGGACAGAAGGGAGAAAGAAGGTGTCTGCTACTCATATAATTAACCATCCCTTTTATAGTGAATACAGTTTACCAAGTGCTTTCTCATTAATTAACTCATTCACTCGACAAATTTTTCCTTGGTACTTACTACATACATCAGTCTGCATGTTCAACTGGGAGCATGTGTGAACAAAACAGACCAGTACCCTGCCTTCAAGGAGGTCACTGTCCCGAGAGGGACAGACATTAAAGAATTGTAATATATGATTTTCAGTAGATGTATAAAATTTGAAAACCATATAAGCATTATGAAAGAAAACTAAACACTGTGATTTGCAGTCATCATGGGGGTACTTCATTGAGAAAGAGGGTCTCGGGACGGCTTTTCTTGCAAAACTTTTCTCGCAAATCCTGTTCAAAGATGAGCAAAAGTTAGTCAGGCATCGAGTTTCCAGGTAGAAGAAACAGCCTGTGCATTGTTTGAAAGAAACAGCCTGTGCATTGATCTAGAGATGTAGCACTAATTTATGTCATTCCATTTTTTTTCTTAGTCATTTCAACTGGATCAAGAAATGAGTGACACAACTGTTCCCAAGAGGCTGAAATAAGAGATGATTCTTCCTCCTGCCGCTGGGCCATTAGAGCAATACACACCAGTAATTCTGCAAAAGGAACACCATTTGGTGGAGGTATTATTCTTGAAGTGACAGAAAAGAAAGACCGTGGTCCACAATGCACCCCAAGTCACTCCATCATCACAGTGAAATGAACACAGATCTCTGTTGATACCTGGATGCCATTGCTAGAGTTAAAACCCTCCCCCAAAAGGACTAAAAACAGATCACATTACATGTAGACTTCTGAAAACATTTTCTTAGTAGGTTCCAAATGTCTGGCTTCCCCTTGACTATTAGGAAATTTTTATTTCCTGGACCTAAACGGCTTCATGCCCACCTTTAATGGTGTCTGGTCAACCTTCTCTCTTGGTTCTTATTCTAGTGATCTGTTTACTTACCCACGTGAATAGCAAGATGCAAAGAAATAAAAGGTAATGGAAATGTTCTGTTCATCTGAAGTGTTTTCTTCTTCCCTATCATCGAAAATCTGGCTCAACTTAATTCTTCCACTAAGGAAAATCAGTAATTTGCTTTCTTCATCCTACAACCCTAAAGCATCTTCAAACAGGTTCATTCATGTTCTGCCCATGAATGCAGTAAGTTTGAAAGCCTGTCTGAAATGAGTACGCCAAACTTTCATTTGAGTCGCTTTCCATTTAAGATGCCCAGGATAAAATGTAATTTCTACTACAAGCTTCTCATACAAACAAAAGTATTAATAATACGCCAAGTTCAAAGTCTCAGAATACAGACCTTCATTTTGACCTAGCAGTTTTGACAAACCTTAGCAAACACACAGTGAGAACAAGAAAAAGCACTTCTTGGAGCCAAGCTATCCAATATCTTGCCATCAGACCTGGGAAATTACGCCAGCCTGACAGTTTCCTACTCTGTCGGAGAAGAAAATGACACAATGCCAATTTCTCCTTCCCCTGACTGCCCACAGCACTTACGATCTCGACCACACATTCTGACCCAAGGTCCTTTTCAATTCAGCACTTTGTTATACTGTCTTTTCATACTCCACTGGATTTATTTAAGTCTTGAAGGCTCAAAAAGTTTATAAGCTCCTTGATGAAAGAAACCTTGCCATGCTCTTCTTTTGCAACCTCCTAATAGCGTCTTGTGGAAGAGCCTGCATTTAAATTAAATGATCCACATCCAAAACCTGTTCTAGGACTTAACCGTTACTCTCCAAAGGAATCACTACTCTACAGCTATAATTTAAGCCCTTTTTCACCTTTCTCTGTCCTCCGGGGACTTGGAGCTCCTGTGGTTCCTGTCGTCCAGATGGAAGCCCTCTACAAACTCGAAAACAATTAAATTACAACTTAGCCTTCTCTTTTTTTGTTCTTCCAATCCATTTCATTTTGAACGGCTGCCATCTCCTTTCAAGATTTACAAACTCCCTCCCACCTCCTTGTCACCAGAAGCCTCTGTCCTTGATTCCTGCAGCTTTTCAAAAGCCACTGTTAAGGAAACCTCCGAACCGGCATCAGAAATGGCTGGAGGGTCTTGATAACCACTGATTGCTGGGACCAGAATTTCTGATTCTGTAGGCCCGGGGTTGGGGCCAGACAACTTGTATTTCTAACAGTTTCCAAGGTGATGCCCCTGCGGCTGGTCTGAGGACCACACTTTGAGAACTGCCACTCTCAGGGCAAATCTTTCTATCAATTATAGAGCTGGACACAGGCTGAGGATCTTTTGCACCATAAGGGGCTACACTAGAAGGAATGACACCTGTTTATTCCAAAGACGTGCCAAATGACCAAAAAAGACAAAAAACTGCCCATGCTATATAATCTGGGAAAATGTTTTGTGGCCTCTCCACTTGAGCTCTTGATCCATTCTCCTACTGGCTCTCCAGGTCCTGTTGGGGTCAGTTCTACCCACCCCCCCATCTCTCCTGCAATCTCTTTCCTCTCCCTTGGAAACGACTTCTCACCCTACCAGCATACGCAGTCACTGCTAATCCTAAGAGACTTTCCCCTTACCTTGATAGGGTCCCAAATGGCTGTCACCTCGCTTTTATTTACCAATGGGCTAAAGTACAGTATAAATTCCTTGTTGGTATTTCACCACCTACATCTTAAAACCCTGGAGCTTGATTTCCACAATTTTTTTTTTTTAAGTAAACTTCATCATTCTCTTTCAAAGGTCAGGAATGGCTTCCTGCCTTCTAAATAAAGTGACCTTTTCTGAGTCATCATCCTAACTAATTTCTCTTATAATACTTGATACAGTTCAACAATAGTTCCTTCAATCTTCTTTTTCTTTGGTTTAGCAGATGAGCATTTTTGCCTGAACACCATCTTTCTGGAGTGACCTCTCCCCCATTCGCTTTGTTATTTGGGCTGGGATGACCTCATGTCTCGGCTTTAAAGATGGGCACAAGTCCCGGCTCTGGGCAATCATAACGCAATCTCCCTCCAGCCATGGTGACTGGTCTTAGGGATAGGCACATACCCAAGGCAAGTAAATCAAAGGCTTTTCTCAGACTGGCTGGAACTAAGAGGAATGAAATACCCTTGCCTGGTGAGACCATGGATGCATGATGCTACTAAGAGCTGTTAACCACCTCTTGAATAAAGCCCATCTAGGAATAAAGCTTCACAGTAGAGAGCAAAGTTGAAAGACAGAAAGTCTAAGTCCTGATGACAGCAAGGTCCCTTGGATCCAGCCATACAAAAGTTAGATTGGGCCCTGGGTTTCCTAGTTATGTTTCGATAGACAAAATTCTAAGGTGGCCCCCAAGATTGCCCTGTCTCCTGGTTGTACACACACCTCTTCCCTCCTGGTTATGCAACAGAACACTAACATAGGTTCTGCTGCTGTGTGAGGGGGTCTTGCGGATATAACTAAGGTCCCAAATCAACTGACCTTAAAATAGAGAAATTGCATTGGTGGGCCTGCCCTAATCCGATGAGCCCTTAAAAGGGATGGGGCTTTGTTAGGAATGAGATGCAAAGCTTGAGAG